GTGTGTGTGTGTGTGTGTGTGTGTGTGTGTGTGTGTGTGTGTGTATTTGTCGGTGTATATGTGTGTGTGTGTGTGGCGGGGTGTCCGGGACAAAGGCCTCCCTGAGACCACCCTACAGAAGCACCCAGAAGTCCCAAAGCTGAGCCTGTCTCAAGTGAGACCATGAAGCTAGAGGGAGGTTGGTCAAGGGACCCAGGAGACCCAGACCCTGCGCTCCGGGCCTCATCATGTGTCCAGCCCTGCCCCCACACTGTGGTCCGCCCCACCCCCAGCTCCTGGGCCTGTCTATGGCCACATTGGCGGCTCTCACTTACTTCGGGGCCCACTTTGCTGTCATCGGCCGTGCATCCTCAGACAGGACCCCCTATGAGGCCATGCACCGCTGGGGTAAGTAAGGTCAGGTGGCTCCTGTCGGGGAGGGGACTTCAGGTGCAAAGGCAGTTGGGGAGGTACCCCAGGCTGGGCGGGTAGGGGCCTCCTAGTGGAGCCGGGCTAGGTCAGGCAGTGGTTGTGGGCAGAGAGGGCCACCCTGGGGTCCTTCTGCACTGGGCAGAGCCAAGGGTCTGGGCCCCAGCCTGTGCCTTCATCTCCTGTCCTTGGAGCTTGGGAGCAGGTGGCATCCAGATGGCCTCAGTGTCCTGGGGGGGTTGCTCCGGAACAAAGGGGCCTGGACCTTGATGCATCCTGGGGGCTGGGTCTCAGGCAAGAGCACAGGACGTCAAGGAGGGCAGCTATGGGGGAAACTGAGGCCCAGAAGACAGGCTGTGGTCCCACCTCAGGCCTCCTGGCCGTTAGGCCCTGGGTTTTTATCCCGAAGCCTGAATCCTGGAGCAGGAAGCCCGGGTCTTGGGCCTGGCCTGATAAGAACGAGCACCCCGCACTTGCCTGGTGGCTTTTGAGATATCCCCCGGCAGACAGGAAGCAGAAGTTGGGGGCAGGGCCTCTGGCCTCCGCCTTCGCTCCTGCCTTCTCAGCCTTGGGAGGAGAGGGAGTGGGTGGTGGGTGGTACATCCCGGCCTGAGCAGGGCTCCTGGTCTCTTCAGAGCTCCCAGAAGCCTACCGCCTGAGTGTATCCTTGGGTTGGATTGCAGATGCTGGCCCTGTGCACTGAGGACCCCCGCCCGGGGCATGCCTAACCCTTCTGCTCTCTGTCCCCACCCAGCGTTCTATGTCGGCATCAGCCTGGCTGGGCTCCTGACCCTGGGCGCCATCCTGGGCGCTGCAGCCACGGTGAGGGAGGCCGGGGGCCTCATGGCTGGGGTGAGTTGTCCCTGCCCCCAGTCCCCCGGCCCCTGGGATGGGCTCAGGAGCGCGCAGGGTGGGGAGAGCCCAGGGAGCCTGCCTCCTCCCACAGAGTCCCAGCAGAAACAGAGGCCTGAAGGGTGTGCACCAGCCAGGACGCCCGTCCAGCTGGGCCAACGAGGGCCCCTCCGCCAGGCCCTGCTTCACCCCATCATCCACGGGGGGCGAGAAAGGCAGCGCCGGTCCTCCCAAGCCTGGGGGCCATTGCCAAAGGCCCAGGGAGCGTCTGGTTCTCTTACACCAGAGGCTCTGGGAACCGGCTTCCATTTCCTGTTACTGGGGCCAGGGGAGGCGGGGAAAGCCCCTCCACTGGCCAGGTCACCTGTAGGTCTGCGTTTGTGCTGTGCCCCAAGGGGGCCTGAGCCGCACTGCTCCTTTGCAGCTGTGGAGAAGCTCTGCCTCACCCCACAAGGGACAGTGACCCCTTGTTGCCCCCATTCCTGCTTGTCTCCTTGGGTCTGGCCCCGCCCCCCCAAGGCCTGTCTGTCCTGGGCACAGGCTCTCCTCTCCCGCCGGAACCTGGGCTCCCTGGTGCCCTGGGCTCACGCACCTGCACCCCCACTTCCCCCTGGCACCTGCCCTCCCTGCCTGGGGCCTTCCGGGACGCCTCGCAGGCTCAGGACAGAGTCCCGCTGATGGAGGCAGGCCAGGTCCAAGGACCCAGAGGGGGTCCCACAGGACCAGCCAGGAGGGCCCTCAGCTTCACACAGGGTAGAAAGTGAACACAGAGTTTACTGAATAGCGTGAGTGAGGGACAGAGAGTCCCAGACAGAGGGTCTGGGAGACTTGGAAAGAACAGGAGAGGGAGTCTCTCTGCCTCTTGGGGTTGCAGATTTACACTGGAAAGGGGTCCAGGGTACGTGGTCCTTTAGGAACCCAGGGAAGGGTCTGATCGAAGGTGAACGACAGGTGGACGTTAGGAGTTATTCCATGAATCACGGATGGTAATGGGCATTGACCCCAGCATCCACCCAGGTTTGTTCGATGCTAACAATCCTGGACATGCTCAGGATTTGGATCTTTTTTTTTTTTTAAGATTTTATTTATTTATTTGAGAGAGAGAGAGAGCACATGAGAGGGGGGAGGGTCAGAGGGAGAAGCAGACTCCCTGCTGAGCAGGGAGCCCCATACAGGACTCGATCCTGGGACTCCAGGGTCATGACCTGAGCCGAAGGCAGTCGCTTAACCAACTGAGCCACCCAGGCGCCCGATTCGGATCTTCCTAGGTGTTACCAGGTGTCTGGGGGCCCGGGACAACAGTCGAGAGCGACCAAGGTTCCTGCCTCCCCGTGCGAGTGGGAGCGTAGCTTCTTTGGTTTGCATGGGGAACCAGAGAGCTCGAGTCACTGGGGCCGAGCAGAGAGGGGGCCTTTCTAAACCGGAATCCCTTCAGCCTCCCGAACTCACCATCTCCCTGCAGGTCCACGGGTCCCCCCGGCCTCCCTCTGCCCCTTCTAGCTGCCAGACCCCCACTCTCCCGCCTCCGGCCCTCTACTCCTGCCGACCCCACCCTACCCTGTGAGGGGTTCGCGGGGCAGCGAGCACTGGAGGCAAGCCCCTGGGCTCACGGAGGGCAGCCTTCTGGGCCCCTAGGACTGGCAGTTTCTCGGTCCAGCCTGTGTCAGCAAATGTCTGGTTCATAAACATCTGCAGAAGTGGGGACACTGTCATGTCCTGAAGCTGCGGCCCGGGCGGCCAGCCCGGGGAGCAGCGTGGGACCAGGCAGTCCAGCCCTAACCAGGACCCCGCTGGCTGGTGGGCTGGGCAGTGTGGGTGCAAGCGGCCACAAAGACTCTGGCCGGGAGTCAGGGAGGGAGGGGAGGCCCAGTGGGAGCTGACAGGGCAGGTGGACTGTCCCCCGAGAGCGGAACCCTAAGGCTTGGGGCCTGCCAGAGGGGCGCAGGGCCAGCCCAGGCCTGGAGAGGCCGGGCAGGGGCAGCGGCCTGGCCACCAGGGGACGCCATGGTGCTGGGCCAAAGCTCTGAGCTCTAGGAGGCCGAAGGTGCTGCCCTCCCTGGGTTCCTGCGCCCCGCCCCCCAGCTCCCACCTGCTCTTCCCAGCCCAGATGCTCAAGGCTGCCCGCTGCCCTGGTCCATGGGCCGGGCGGGGGAGCACCGGGGGTCTCGCGTCTGCATCCCCAGCCTGCTCCACCCAGACCCCTCCCTGGGCCCAGCCCCATGGCCCCGTGAGGCCTGCGCCCGCGGTGTCTGACATATCTGTGTGTCTGCACATGTGTAGCAGCACATACGAGGGACGCTCAAGCAGGGAGACCCTTCCCAACGTGCCGGGCGCCGGGCCTCTGTCTCCCCCCGCCCTGCCCGCGCCTTCCTGCCCCACCTCCTCGGGCCTCGCCCCACACAGGCCTCTGGAGCAGGAAATGAACCAGCTTGCCGGGCTGCTAGAGCAGGGCTGGCAGGGGCGGCTTGTTTATTTATATATTTTATTTACAAGGACCAAGAAACTGCAGAGCCGGGCCCAGCTGCACCCAGCAGGCCTGCACCACGCAGGCCCCGGGGATGCGGAGTGGGCCTCGCCCCAGGCCCCATCTGCAGGCGGGCGGGTGGAAGTAGGGAGGGGACTCGCTCTCTCCTGAGGAATGAAATGATTTCTGGAAAATGCTGGTCCCCTGAGTTGGCTCAGGGCCTCCAGCCTGGAGGCAGTGTTGAGCGATGGTTTCCAGATGGAGGAGGCCCTCAGCCAGCCCGGGGGGGGGGGGGGGGGGGGGG